CAGCGATTTCGGCGCCGCCGCGGCTAAACTGGACGCGTTGGGAACATACTGGAAAGGAAATGTGGCTCGGCCAGCTGTTTGTACGGACTTAGCCGCGGAGAAACTTCGGCTAAATACTTTTTACGCGAACTCGTCAAAAGAAATCCTGAAGAAGTAATCTGTACAGTAATAAACGTCCAATTTTAATCCACGCTCTTCGAGTTAACCATCTTATCTGGGAAAGTCTAGGAAAAATCTAAAATTCAAGTCTAATCAAATTTATCTGTATAGTTCGTACTCCCCAATCATCTCAAGTTTAATCAACCTCTAGTCTCCAGCCACGATACACAATTAATTCAAAAATCATCAGATATTACATCCCAATAAAAATCTCATTAACCCTTCTCAACCACTCAAATCTCTCAAACTTCTTCCACTGATAACGAACCTTAATAATAAAAATAATAATAATAATAATAATGATAATAAAAATCCAATCAAAATTTAATTTTTTCACAAAAATTCCAAACTGTACTTCAAAAGCAATAATTCCACTGGAAGATTACTCAATTATCCTTTTGAACCCTTTGAACTCTGTAGGCTCCAATACTGCACCAGTTATAATAATAAGTATTTTAATGAATCTTAAAGAAACTATCCTAAAATTATTCGATTTCCCACACACCCAAATTTTAATAGGGAAGTCTATATGAATCATTTATTTCAAAAGTGGTTTAACCTTTTGAACTCTGTAGGCTCCAATACTGCACCAGTTATAATAATAATAATTTTAATGAATATTAAAGAAACTACCCTAAAATTATTCGATTTTCCACACATCAAAATTTTACATTCAGAAGGAAAATAAAAGACCGAAGAAATGTTACAGCATTTCCAATTCTCACTAGAAATACTATAAAAATTAGTTGCAGTTGATAGATTACAAAACAACCCGCTAAGGGTTAATAGCACTCAACTCGTTTACCCAAGAAAAAACACTTTCTTTCCTCGAAGAGAAGGAACGAGCCCACGCTGGAAGCATCGGACAGAAGGGCGAACGCGAAACGACGAGATCAAATGCTGGTAGATAACAAGTCGAAACCTGATTCGATGTATCGGGTGCGCGGCCAGGCAGGGTCCGTCCCCCTGGGAAACGTATCCAGCCTGTTCTCGTGTTTCCAGGAGCTAGGGTGAACTTTCCGCCGGTCCTTCAGCGCTGATAAATAGCTCGAACGGAAAGGACAAGTTAACGCCGGCCTCTTTCTCTCTCCTTCGTTCCCTCGTTTCCGGAAAAATTTCCGTTCCCCTCGCGCAACACGCCGAATCCCCGTCGAAACTTTAAGACCGCGGGATCCGGGCTGAAATTTTTCTATTGCGTCTTATCGAGCCAATGTTTCCCTTCCCGCGAATTAAACCCGGCGAACGCGGTCAATTAAATTACGGGGAATTCGCTGGCGTCACCTGGGGAGACGGCTCGTCGTTCGTTATCGATAAAGATCCGAAGATTCAACACGCCCGGCGTACTCCCGGGGAAACTTCCACGGTTCCGCGGAGAATATTCTCGTATGGGGTTCCCGCTGTAACGAGTTCGTTTATTGGAGATGCCGCGAGCACGCGGACTCTTCTCCACTGCGCAAGGGAGCGCGCAGTGGACAAATCGTCGAAATTCGAGTATTATAGTGTGATAGTATTATAGCGTAATGAAAATTGGAGATCACCGATGTGTCGGTGAGTAGTTGATGTACGATTTTCATTTCGAAATCAACGTTTTGTGCGGGCAATTCCGTTTTTGAATTTATGTAACGTTGGAATCGAAGTACAGAGCATGCATTGTTATTGAAGAAGCTTCAGAATATCCCGATAATGTTAAAAATATGTAATTGTTGTCATACGAAATGATTTTCATTTCGAAATCAACGTTTTGTGCGAGAAATTCCGTTTTTGAATTTATGTAACGTTGGAATCGAAGTACAGAGTATGCATTGTTATTGAAGAAGCTTTATAATATCCCAATAATGTTAAAATATGTAATTGCTATTATAAGAAATGATTTTCATTTGAAAAATCAACGTTTTGTGCGATAAATTCCGTTTTTGAATTTATGTAACGTCAGATTCGACGCGCAGAATATGCATTGTTATTGAAGAAGCTTTAGAATATCCCAATAATGTTAAAATATATAATTGCTGTCATACGAAATGATTTTCATTTGAAAAAGCAACGTTTTGTGCGATAAATTTCGTTTTTGAATTTACGTAACGTTGGAATCGACGCGCAGAATATGAATTGATATCGAAGAAACTTCAAAATATCCCAATTACGTTAAAAAATATATAATTGCTGTCATACGAAATGATTTTCATTTGAAAAATCAACGTTTTGTGCGATAAATTCCGTTTTTGAATTTATGTAACGTTGGAATCGACGCGCAGAATATGAATTGCTATCGAAGAAACTTGAAAATATCCCAATAACGTTAAAAATATCTAACCACCATGTGTTCAGCTCGATACCTTACAACTTTCGTCTGAAGCATTTGTTTCGTATCACTCATACTTCCGAAGTTATTGAGTTTCGTCCAGGAAACGGTCGTTTGGCCGCACCGTGCGACGCGAAGTTTCTCGGATACCGAATAGCCCGAAGTTTCTTCGCGGGCCGCGTTCTTACGGTTTTGTCACGCGGCGTCCGCTGATTGGATTGCCCCGCGACGCGGAGAGTGGGAAATATGTTGACTGCATGAAACGTTAAGTGCGTGGACATCGTCGGGGATGTTTGTTCGGTCGATTAAATGCTGAACGTGCTCGCCATTTATAATCGTTTCGATGCTAGCTGGTAGCAATTGAAGATGATGATCTGTTTATAAGTCTGACACGTGCTAATGTAGAACTGAGTGTTTCGATAATGATTTCTTTGTATTTTCTGGTAATATTGAGAGAATATTTTTAGAGAAATCGAAAGTTGACTTAGAAAATGATCGATATTGAATTACGAATATAACAGTATATCGCATTCGAGAAACTAAAAATCTTATTAACCATTCTCAACTACTCATCACTCAAATCTCTTAGTAACAGAAACGACCAGTAACTACAATTATTGAATTGTCGAATTGTCAAACATCGATATTGAATTACCAATATAACAGTACATTACATTCGAGAAATTAAAAATCTCATTAATCATTTTCAACTACTCACCACTCAAATCTCTTAGTAACAGTAACGACCAGTAGCTACAATTATTGAATGGTCGAATTGTCAAACATCGATATTGAATTACCAATATAACAGTACATTACATTCGAGATATTAAAAATCTCATTAACCATTCTCAACTACTCATCACTCAAATCTCTTAGTAACAGAAACGACCAGTAACTACAATTAACGATATAACATAAAAGGTAACAAATTATGAAAGTACAATGAGAATTTAGAAATTTGATTTTCAAACCATCCATCGATCGTTGATCCATCATCCGCACGTTAATGATATTGCTACAATCGATCAACAAGGAAACACGCGAATCCTAGTAAATTTCGTTTGCGGAATAATTAAAGCCGTGAAACTCTCGCGAAGTGTCCACGGGAACCCGCAAATCGTGGCTCGATGATCGTGCCCAAATATTAGAGCGACGCGTCCTCGGTTGGCCGAACAAATAAGCACGCTGTTAATTCGCGTTCCTGCGAGTGAAATATTTTTATAAGCACCACGGGCAGCTCGCGTAATTACAAGGGGACGCGTCCAATCCGGCGAACAACAGGGCCCGTACGAAGTATGAGCGGGGCGAGCGTTTACATCGACCGGCAAACACTCCACCACGCCATCTAATTACCCCTGAAACGCGACTGATTGATCGATTCAATTCTCCAACAGCGAGATACCGGAAATTCAATGTCTATGTCACCGCGGAACCGAGATTCCTGCAAATTACATTCGGCCTTGTGTACACGGCACACGGAACACCGTATCCGCTCGCGTATAGATGTAGGCCACTGCCGCGGGCCAATCGGCGTCAATCTATAATATATCCGGGATTTAGAGTATTGCTGTCGGAATCTAATAGTACTACGATGTCTGAGAATAATCGTAGATTAATATTTTACAAGCGTTTCAACGATAAGTCGCTCGGAAACGGATAGAAGCTTCTGTAAGTAGAATGATCGACGTACTTTCAGATTCTTTCAGACTCAAAGAATCATAGAAAATTCATTTAATATTCCATATTTCTGCGTGAAACTTTAATATCTTTTATTATTTTATCAAACCATACTTAGCCTCCAGATAATATTTTACATTTATATTTTATTAACATTTTACAAGAATTTCAACGATAAGTTGCTCGAAGATGGATAGAAGCTTCTATAAGTAGAATAATCAACGTATTGGAAGACACTTTGAGATTCAAAGAATCATAGAAAACTTATTTAATATTCCATACTTCTGCGTGAAACTTTAATATCTCTTATTATTTAATTAAACTATACTTCAATGGATTCCAGATAATATTCTACAATTATGTTTTATTAACATTTTACAAGGATCTCAACGATAAGTCACTCGAAAACGGTTAGAAGCTTCTGTAAGTAGAATAATCAACGTATTATCAGGAACTTCGAGATTCAAAGAATCCTTATAGAAAACTCATTTAATATTCAGTATCTCTACGTGAAACTTTAATATTTGTTATTATTCAATCAAACTATACTTCAACAGCCTCCAGATGAACTTCAGATCCATTCAACCTCAAACTTAAATTTCTATTTCTTCCGACGTCCTACTTTTCGATTCTCCAACCATTGCAAACCTCTTCATCCAAAACATTCTACAATCTACCTCATTACTTCCATCTACCACTACACAACCACTCAATCCACTCAGTATTACTCAGGAATATCCTCTATCAGCCTGTACGTTCTCCCTAAATCTCAATGAACGCGAAAGGCACGCGTGCACCATTTAGTCAAGCACGATCAGATTACGGCCAACTAGCTGTTCGCTCGCGTTCCGAGTCGTACTCACCGGTAAGGATTCGGGCGTGTGGTCCAGCACGTATATGTTGTTCGTGTAGCCGTACAGCATCGTGTCCAGATCTGAAATCCAACGAACGAACGGGAACATTAAATTGGATCGAAACCGTTCGCAGCGGCGCGGAATACTAACGCCACGCGTAGTTGGTCAGACGCGGTGCTTCGATGCTCCAATTACCAGGCCGAGCTATCTCGCCGCGTCTTATCAAACCGTCCCCTTTGTCTTCGCCGCTGGGAAGGGAAATTGAACCCGCGCAATCGTAAAATCGGGATCGCTCGATCGTTCCGCGTCCCCGGCGCAGCAACAGCGCCGAGCAATATTTTACGATCTCCCGCGACCAATATCGATACCAGGTTCGGCTGTATTCTTTATTAAACCGTCTCGTTGTAAGTCGCATCGGAATCCAACGCAACCTGCAACTTTGCAGTGTGAAGCGTGCCGAGGAATTATGATTCGACCGCTGACGCCGTGAGCTTCGTTGACACTTTACTGATATTTATTGTATAGTTTGTTCTATTGTTCTTGGAAGATTTGATGTTTAGGTGGATCTTTGAAATTAGAGGTTTGAGAATATTGTTGGGATATATTGATGTAAGGAAATCGACGTGAACGTTTGTCAAATAATGTTTAACACGTTAGATGCCATGAGGTCACCGGTGACTTCAACCAAATGGAATTACTATCGTTCATTCGATTAAACGATGGTTATTCGGAAACTTTTCTATATTGCAAGTAATATCGCCTTATGCAGTGACATTCGACGAGATAAACTTGCAATAATAATAACGTAATTCAATCGCATAAGATGATACATTATTTTCACTTTGTATATTTCTCTCGGCAAAATCGTGCGACATTCAATGTGTTAAATATGAAATAAATTCACGTGTTCCGTGAATTTAAAGTTCAAGCTTCGTTCTCGTGTTTCAAAGATATGATTAGAATACATCACGTAAACTTTCGCCAAATAATGTTTATTAAATACAAAATATGACAAATTCACGTGTTCCGTGAATTTAAAGTTCAAGCTCCGTTTTCGTGTTTCAAAAATTTGATTAGGATACATCGACGTAACGAAATCGACGTAAACGTTCGTCAAATGACAAATTCACGTGAACCTTGAGTTGAAGCTCCGTTTCCAATTTAATTACACAAAAATTATTGCATATTCCCCAGGTTTCGTTAGCATAGGACATTTCCCTTGCCATCGGTAGCTCGATGCGGGTTTTTTTAATTAAATATTAAAATCGTTTAATTACGAACGTGATTCAATTGAGAGATGAAATCGAGAGGAACGAGTAACACGTTTTCTTGACAGAAGTTGAAATCCTCGGTACACAAACGTCGCGTGTAATTTAACGAGAAAGAGAGCTTTGGTTTCTCTTAATCAGTTTTGCTTGCGAGTGAATGGTTGTTTTGAATTCTACGCGGGACGAGATCAAGGCGAAGCTGATTTCCTGTAACGCCCGGTTAATCGGCGAGCACCCTAACTTCCGGTAAGCCAATTTCCTTCCGACCGTCTGTAACGAACTTTCCTCCCGCGGACGTTTAAGGAAGAAAAAAATTATCGACGGAGGAAACGCAATTAAGAAAGGTGTGCAGTGTTCAGGAGAAAGTTCGTTGCGGCGAAAGATTCGTCGTGCCGGCGGCACTTTTCACGGGAAAGTTTGCGGCGCTTCTCGATGTCTCCGAAAAATAAGAATACGGATCGGGGACGATGGACAGTGGCAGTTCGAATGAATTAAGTTCCAAAACATTTACGATTCTGTTAAAATTGATGGTCAATCTTGTCTTCGCAAATTTTGTATATCTTGTCAGATGAAGTTGATTAATATCAATATAACAAAAAGCTGAACACAGGAACTGGGAAGGTAAATGTAGAATGCACGATAAATCAATAAATATACAATATTAATGACATTGCGAACAGGAACGTAGAAATCGGAAATAATTAATCACACGATCATTGGTCTGAATACTTAACCCTTTGAGAACGAATGTCGACGCATCATCAAAATTTCGGTATATAAAATACGAGGTAGCTAGAAAACAATCCAATTATCAAAATCACAAAGGATTGCTATGCAATTCTCTTTGCATTTAGTATTTATACGTCGAATATATAATTCAGCTTCCTCTACAGAAAGTTGAACACTTGAAAAATTCGGTTAACGCAGGAGATTACGCAAATGCGAGATAAACGCGAGATAAACGCAGGCAACAATTCGTCGACCGGCGCATCAGCAACAGATTCCCAGCGGCCAGCAAAAACTCCGCAGAAAAACGGAGTCGCGGTGCGCCGCGCGGGAAGCCATTTTGTATCAATAGATCGGCGGAATATACGATTGTAATATCTCTCCGGGAACAGTTGCGAACACCGATATATCATGCGGATCCCGCGGAACGGCCGCGATTTATGCGCTGAAATCTCAGACCGAGCTCAGTTCGGGGCGTAGCAATTTTTCAGAATTATTGCCGGTCTGCGCGCGGCTATCTGTCGATGGACGAGAGCCACTTCGGCCCTGATCGCGATTCATTTCCATGCGAAATATCCTTTATCCCGTATCCGGTTCAACTGCGCCCGCTCCTCCGGCGCCCCCAATTTTCCATCGGCTATTTTTAGGTAGCACGCACAGCCGGCGAGGAGAATCAATCGGATCCGAGGTCCATCCGGTCGCGCGCGGTCCGCCGGCCACCGATATTTCCGAATCGATCAACGGTCACCGGGTAGAAGTGGCACTCGCCGGCTCATATTGGCTGGCCGCGATTTGCCGGGTGTTTCGCTTCCGGCCGGGGGCGGGAGGCTGCTTTATGACGGGGCTTTCACGAGGATTTCGCGTCCGTCGCTATTTCATCTTGCGACGCACGCCGCGTGGACGCGGATCGTCGCGTCGACGGGTTACGCGCTGATTGGAAAGGGCTCGTGGCTATTGGAGGGCTGATTGATTACGGTTCCGGTTGCCTTCGCGCTCTCCGCGGGCCACGCTGATTGGGAATCTGTTTTCTGTCGCGCCCTTGGGTTACTGCTTTGATTGGACCAGGGATTTTTTAGTTGATTGGGGATTCGGGGTGTTTTCGGTGCCAGTCGCTTGGGAGTCGATGTGGCTGAGTGCCGGAAGGAATTGAGGAGGTTGATGTTTTCATGTGTGGAATTATTGTATAGTATATTTGGAAGGTATAGAGGAAGGGATTTTGAGTTAGAAACGAAGGAACGAGTAAGTTATTTAGT